CATCAAGCGATATAAGTAAGATAAGGAAGACAATCACTCCATCACTTGCCCTCGCCTCGCTTCAGCTTTCTCCAAACGCCACAGGCGAGGGATATGACCGGATGGTTCAACAAAGATAAGGTAGACAATGAGTCACTCCATCAAGCGATATAAGTAAGATAAGGAAGACAATCACTCCATCACTTGCCCTCGCCTCGCTTCAGCTTTCTCCAAACGCCACAGGCGAGGGATATGACCGGATGGTTCAACAAAGATAAGGTAGACAATGAATCACTCCATCAAGCGATATAAATAAGATAAGGAAGACAATCACTCCATCACTTGCCCTCGCCTCGCTTCAGCTTTCGCTTAGACTGTTTCAAAGTTGTCTGAAGCTTGGCAGTAAGCGCCCGGGAATCATGCCTGTGGTAATGCTTCAGGCTGGTCGCGGGAGTGGCCGACAAAAAGGGACAAGCTCCTTTCTGTGTGGAGCTTCCCCATGAGGCCGGGGTCTTGCACCAAATGGGCCTCAGCTGCGCCCCTCGCATCCGTCGAGGGGGCCCGGCCAACCCTAGCAACTCCTTTCCGGAAGGTGTCGTAGGAGATGCCCTTGAAGATGGCAATATCACCCATGCCATCCCTTGCTGGAGGTTTCAGTGCAGGGCCGGTTTCCGGCAGCTTCAATTGAGTCATCAAAGCAGGGAAAAGATCGCGCGATTTCTCCAAGCTTTTGCTCCATTCTGGGCTAAGCCATTTTCGGGAGACAAAATAGGAGCGAGACATGCGTTTGCTCCTCTCCGTTTTTCTAGGAGATTTGCCCGTTGGTGCGTAGAAAAAGGTCTGCTCAGCATCAGACCAATGGAGGTTTCGATTCAGCACCTCGGAGGACATTATGATAAGGTGAAGAACAGGGAAAGATGAGGCACAGAAGCACAAACGCAAAACCTTATTGATGGCAGTTAAGGTGCCAAATTGTGGACCACTCCTATGCGCTCGGTGGTCTGAAAGATGAATTGCCAGCCGAGGGCCATCGCTTCCATCTTCGCGAGCCTTCCGGTCATATAGTCCCGGTTCTTCTTCGGAGCGTTCTCCGGAAGCTTGGCGATCCGCACCTTCAAGCTTTGAATCGACGCCTGCCAGTTCGTGCTGAGCGCGCATTTCCTCACAGCCAGCAGGCTCCTCGCCGGGGATGGACCCAGGCTCCGGAAGCCCCTGACCGTCCTGAGCTCTCTTCTCAGCAACGCTGCGACCGAGC